GACAGCGGGCCAGGTGGCCCAGGAGCCGAGTGCGCACCTCAGTGTTGACACCCTCGCAGGTGGAGAGGAACCGCGTCACCTCGTTCATGCACTCGCTGAAGCCGGCGCGGTACTTGCCCAGCACCGTGGGGTCTGTGCTCAGCGCAGCTGCAGGAGGAGAGAGGCGCACAGCCGTCAGGGCAGCAGGCTCCGCAGGGGAGAGGGACGTATAGCCCACTAGCGTTGCATCCAGCAGCCGCTCCGGGCTGGGAATCCAGGCAGGGAGCACAGCCAGGTGCCAAGGATCCAGATGGAGAAGACAGCCCCTCTGGCATTACGTCCTGTGTCCCCCAGCACCAGGGATCCAAGCGGGGAGCACTGATGCCTGGTGTCCTCCTGTGCTCCCTGGCACCGGGGATCCAGGCTAGGAGCACGGACCCCTGGGGTCCTCCCACATGCCGCCCCCCCCAATACTGGGGATGCAGGCTGGGCCCACAACCCTGCAGGCATCTCCTGTGTCCCCCAACAACGGGGGTGGTGCAAAGGTTGAACAGACTGTTACCTGTTCTGCACAGAATGTAGGTTGTTGCATAGGCACTGAGAAGAAAACAAGCCACCAGCTTGAATCTGTCATCGGAGCTGTCAATATGCTAATCTTGAATTAATTCCATCAAGAAAGGTCTCTCCTGATCTAACAAAAAAACAGTTCATGAAAAATACAGAAAATAAATCAAGTCATACACATCTGTCTGTGAATGTGAGGGCACTGGTTGGTTAGGAATTTTTTGGAAATATGTCCCATTATATTTGGGAATAACATTTTGGGTAATAAATCCATATTCAGGGATATGTTTATTATTTTAAAAAGCATCATTTTCAGAAGTTAGTCAGCAATTACTGACAATAGTGATATAGTAAGTTATGACAGGAATCTGCTTTTCTGAGGGGCTTTCAGTTCTGGTTTTTAGTGTAAAGACACTTAGACATAAGTTCAAACACCACAAAAACTTTGAGAGAAAAAATATATGCATACAAATATTTAAAGTAGTAAGAGGATGAAGAGGATGATTACTGTAAAACAGAGCACAGAGAGATTAATTGATCTGTCTAAGGTCATATACATGAAACGTAGCAGAGCCAGCGATTTAATCCAGTCCTTGAATCTGAGATTGCCCCTGATTTGTTTAGTTTCTGGCTGAAAATTAGCTTTCTGCATTTGTTGTATTTTACCAAATTCTCTTCCGGCTGATACTCTAAACGCTATATTTAAATTGACAATGCTGGCTGCAAACAAGAATAAGAAATAGAGAAGCTGTATATTCCTTTTCACCTAGCCTCAGAACAGCTTCATGTAGGTCAACGGTCATATTGTCTGAGTGACAGTATCTCAGAACAACAAAGCTTATTATTAAAAGTTTTTTTTTTAAATATTTTATTATGTAGCATTTAAACAAGATTAGGCTCATATGGCTATTCTGAATAGCAGAGTTCCTAATCTGACATTTCTGTGCTCACAATTCGTATAGTACTCGTGACAGGACAACTAGGAAGCACCCAGAGGAGCAGTTACAGAGCAGAACTGGAAGGATTATTCTTCCCGCTGTCAAGGAGCCAAGGTTAGAGCACATCTTTCTACTTGTCTTCGGCCCCTTATTTCTTCCTCCCTTCAAATCAGTCAAACTGAGAATGCAGTGGAAGAGAGCCACATAATTCTTTTTCTCCTTTACCACAAATCATTCACTGGATTGTTTCATTAAAAAAACTTCACGTTTTCTTTAGTTTCTCAACCTTAGAAGTGTTAAGATTAGGCAATTGAAGCATACAAATCATATACTCTACCCTCTCTCTTCAGGAGGCCTATGTAAAATCAACTTCTCTCAGAGTCTAGAAATCATCCAGTTCTAGACTGGGTATTAAGAGAAACAAGGGCAAACATATGGAGGTGTTTATTAACAAAAGTGACCAAATGAACTCGTCCCTGATTTGTCCTAGCATAAGATTATAATAGAGCTTTGTACTTCTTAGATAGAAGAGACAGAGAGAAGGAGCAGCCCGCTTGCCACGGCGCACACCGGCACGTGCACTCTGTAAGGGCCCCTTCGCCTCTCCTTGGCACCCCAGGCCTGCCCGCTCGCTCCCTCTCTGCAGGTGTTGCTGAGGCCAGCACCTGCAGAGCCTGGCTAGTCTCCAGAGGGAGTGTGCAGCGTGCAGCAAAGGGCAGGGATGCGTGGTGGCACACGCGAGACCAAGGTAACCCGTTGTTGTGGGTTACGCTACTGGGAGTCTGCACGCTTCGGTGGTGGCACAGCCGCAGATGCGCTGGTGCGTGCTCTCGCATCATTGCCCAGGCGAATTCAAAACCCCGGGGTGGTGCTTGTCCCTCGGCCCTGGCGCAGCCGTGCTTTCCCTGTCTCGAGCTGGTTTGGATAGTTTGTGGGGTTACTTTTAAAAAAAAAAAAAAAGTATTTTGCCTGAGGACTTGAATCTTTTTTTTCCCTCCGCTTGAGTGACTTTCTCACACTCCTATTCCCATAGTCTGCCAGCTAAGCCTGAGTCATCCTGCCAAGAACTAGACCTGGCCTATTCAAAAATGTGCTCGCTCGCTCTTTCTTTCTGTCTCTCTTTCTTTTCTTTGTGTGTGTGTGTGTGTTTTTTTTTTTTTTGAGTATACACAGTAATGTTTTTCCACCTCCTCCAGTACCTGATCTGCACCTGTACAGGACCAATCCCACACATATCACCTGATCTTGCCTTTTCAGAGACCGTGAGAAATATGAAGTTCAAGAAAGAAGAGACATGTTTGCAGATCTCACCAGTGCAAAGCCCTCATCTCTGCAGAGGCTTGCCTGCATAGCGACCAGAGTTAAATAAAAAGAAAAAGAAAATTATTGGAGAGTGTCGTGTTTAAAACTACAGAAGAGTTCAAATCCAGGCTTTCTTTCAGCTCCTTGATCCAACCCCAAGTCTTGATTTAAAACAAAGAGCAGCCTTCAGTATGTAAGATTTAACTTCAGATGAGCAATATTTGACGTAAACTTCAATTAGTTAGACACTTGGCCATACTCAGTGATGAAAAGGTCAAGAGACTGCACTGGGGAAGTAGCTACCAACAAACCTTTTCTTAGTAGCCTTTATCGAGAAATCTGACAGAACTGATTAGCATGAAAACTGTAATGCAACATTTTTGAGGCACCTATATTGTTCTCTGGTGGGCCAACATTTTCTCTACTGTTGATACATGGATAGATTCGGGGGGGAAAAAAGGAAGGTTATCACAGTTACTGGGCTAGTGTTCTCCCTGATTTACAAGGGGGTCAGGAAATGTGAGGCTGGGCTGGAAGTGAGAACAGACTGTAATTATGTCCGAGTTTATGGTAGCCAAGGAGCTGCTAACCACCTCTAATTGCCGGCAACGGGTCGGTTTCTCTGGGGGATGAGAAGGGGGAAGACTGTGTGAACAGACTGTAATTGCTGCTTGCCAGTGCTCGGCCTGGCCAGGGAGCTGTGATTGCTGGCAGCAGCCCCCTTCCTGCGTGGCAGGGGTTGCAAGGCCTTTCCCAGGCTCCCATCCTTGCAGCTGCCTGGCCAGTGCCCACTGAAGGGTCGCATTGAGGTGGAAGAACCAAAAGCATTTGCTTTTGGAGTGCGTGAGGAACTGGGCTTTGCGGCTGTGGGCCTCTAAAAGCATTGTTTTCTGCAGGATGTCCCCAGGCATCTTCTGATCTGAACCAGGAGCCCTGGGCTGAGCACCGCAGGGAGAAGTGGGGAGGCAGTAATACTGGTGTCAGCGCTGCAGCTCTCCTCCTCCATCTGCTCTCTGTGAAATGCCTTATACATGCGATAGTTGTGATCCCCAAGCGGAAGCGTGTATATGTGTGAATTCCCCAGGGATCAGAAGAGGAAGGGGAGGTTTTACATTGAAGGATGTTTCTGGGAATGAAGTGGCCAAGCCCAAGTTTAGGTTGGAAGGAGGTGGTTTGCAACCATTGCGGGGCTCTGGAATAGATCCTCCGGGCTTCTCCAGCCCTGCCTTTGCTTTTGAAAGGGTGTTAAGGGGGAGATAATGGCCTGAGATAACAGGCTGCCCCAGGGACCAGGGTGTCTGTCCCTTGTCCTGTGGTCCTCTGTCAATGGTTTTCTTTACTCAGGCTGTGATCTTGGGTTACAAATTGGGAATTGTCCAAAACAGAGATTTGGGAAGGGCCTTTAGACAGGGTCAAACAAAACACATCAGGGTGTTACTGACCCGCAGAACATCTTGGAGTGAAAATGCTTTGGCAAGAAAATTTAGACTAGTCCTGGGCACCAACCCAGGAAGGTAGAATAAAATAGGATGTCACCTCTGGTGCGGCATACAGCAAGCAAGGAGGTTGCAGAGCTTGCCGTGCCTGCTGCTCATTCCTTTAGGAAGCAGCCAAGACCAGAGTAAAACATGCTTCTAGAGATCCATGTGCCTTACTGTCCAAAGCTTGCAGGGGTCCAGGAAACGTAAAGGACGTAGAAAACAAATTGCTCGCAAGAGCTGGGTAATTACTGGGATAAAAACCTGATTACTGGAGCTGGTAATAGCACACCAAGCCTTTCACCTTCAGGTCATGGACTGAAATTCTAGCCTGGCCACGACTGGAAGCTGTCACCATCCTGAAGGCTGGAAAGCGAGTGCAGTGTCTTGGGGACAAGTGTCCCTAGAGCAGATATCTCCACTGGGCAGCCCTGCACACATGGATGATGTTCCTCTACACACCAGCTCCTCATGGTAAAAAGGGCAAAACAACTTCCATGCAATAGTACTGCTGCCTAGTGCTCCCGAAGGCAGGAGCCGCTTGTTGGGTGGGACAGCGTATCCTGCCCTCTCCTTTAGACTGGGGACCTGTTTCCCTGAGGGCCGGCTGAGACCTAGGATCTCAACACAGCTGCAGCTGGCAGGGGCCAGTTAGCAGATGAGGCTTAGGGGTCTCACACAGCTGCATCTCCCCCAGAAAGTGCGTGTTTTGCAGGAGCTAGGCTCCTTCATCTGTTCCCTGGATGCCACCACAGAGAAGACACAGAGGTGCATATTCATTTTACTCCAGGCCATGTGAGTCATGCTGGGTGTGGGGGAGCTCTGGCCATGCAACGCCTCAGTTCTGCTCCAACCCCTGCTGTGTTGGGGAGGGCATCTGTGGGCTCCAGAAAGCAGTACCCTTCCTTTTTCTACTGCACGTATGCCGAGGCAGACATCCCCCGGGAACGACCCAGAAAGCTGTGGGATGAAGTGACCAAGTAGCAAAGCACCACTCTGAGAAACTCTGATGTCGGTAAGGACAGGAATTAAAGAGCCGTTTTTGTCTCAGC